TTTTCAATTATTATAAGTCTTTACGGTATTATATCCTTACTACAAAAAACTTTAATATTAAATATTTTTGATAATTTTTGTATTTCGAACTATATTCCCTTAATAAAGAATAAATCTTACATCAACTGAAAAGAGACATAAATACAACGATTTTATGTATCTTTGTCTGTATTTTGCAACAAGACAGTCTTAATAAACAACGTTTAATCCATTTTTGCTACAGCTTTAAACTAATTTTCAATTTGTTCTACGTAACCAATTTTTGCAATGTACAGGTTCTTTCCTGACGTGGAGTTTTTAGATGACATTTTACTAGGAAGCGAGATTTTGCTGTCGTTGTAATTATTATTGATTGCCCAAGCACTGTCAGTCTCTTCTAAACATGTGGCATGTGCATATCACACATTTATTAGTACATATAGCAAATATGTATATATCTCCAACTGCATGTGACAAACCAATCAATTAACTGCTGCTTAAACACTTTACAACACTGCCGAATACTGCACTGACATCTTATATTGTTGATGCAGTGTCATTGATATGCTGCAATATTTTCTACTTCACTCCACACCTAAATACTGCTCTTCTTTGCAAATTTCACTTTTTCATGCTTTAATGTAGATACAAATTATTTTCATCTTGCAGCAGCATCATAAAAACTGACACGCGACACCTACTCCGCCCCCTCATTTAGCCCATGTAACCTGCAGAGCTATTGCTGCAACCATTTAACTTTAATAATAAACTTTTCTTGACACTAATTAGCCCTCTGCACTTTTCGTCCTTTTGTGGTCTTCTACTATTTATTCAGTACAATATTTAATTTCACTGTTCGTATTGATTCATTAGTTTTTGAATTAACTTTTTAGAAACTTTTGCAATTTCGTGACTTTCGTTAATTCTAATTCATGAAATCAACTTCCTTTCAAATTTCTATTGATGCTGCTTCTGGTAGCTGCTTGTGATGGAAGTAACCTTATTAAATAAGTAATTAGTGAACTTTTGCTGGTAATTTTCTCTCGTTTCCCCCTTTAAAACTTTGGGCTTTAATTTACGTAAATAATTTTGTTAGATCTAAGTAGAGTATGTAACGCATGTACTCACTCAACAGTTTCAATTTCAGTACTCACAACATTGTAAATATCTTTTTTCACTTGCAGAAACAAGCAGTCTTTAATACAATAGAACAACAATAAATTTTATACTCTAAAGTAAACTTTTGCAAATGTGGTTAAGATATCACATGAATATGTTAGATTTATTTTATTAATTAAGCAAGTTAAAATAAACTTTATAACCGCAAACTGCATCAGGATAATTCAATCAAAAGTTTAGATATAAAAGTTACTAGATTTAATGTTTGTCGTTAATAAATTTTTAAAAGAGGAAATAAACAGAAATATATTATTTTCAATGGAAATTAAAATACATAAATTTAAATAGTTATTTCACTATATTATATGCAGCGAATTCGCTTAATCTTACTCCAAGCATATATAACTCAAGACATAAAGACATTGCTCCAATAACTAGAATCATAAACAAACCTTCATTTCAAACCTATTCTCTTAAACTTCCCTATTTATTTACTTTCGCTTTAAAAATGGTCATACAAATAAATAATGCCGAAGTCGAATACTGTATCTACGCATATCTCGTTGAACGGTAAATGTTTCACATAATAAATGCATCTCTTCTAAATAGATTTTTAAAATATTCATAACCTGGATATTACCATGTGAATAATTAAATGAACAAAAAAAGTGAATATAAAAATGTCTACAAAGAAAACGTCTATATCTGTAATAAGTATAATTATGTATCCCTAGTTACACATATATTGACAAAAAAAACTTATCTTATTTGGCTGAGAGAGAGTTCAACTAAATCGTTTCATATATAACTTTTATGTATTCAAAACTAGTATTACGCTTATAACCCACCTCATCATGTACTGGGCATCTGAAAATGTAGTGATCTAGGTAAATGATCAAGCCAAAAAGTCCATAATAGACATTGAACCTACTTACAGCAATAGCAATATATTGCTATATATATATATATTCTATATATATATAGAATATCAAATAGAGTTATATTTAGGAGTTAGGAGTTATATATAGTTAGAATTATATCTAGTAGTATAATTTCTGTTTTTGTATCCCGTAGTCGACAAACCCTATGACACCCAAAATAAAATTGCTTCGTATTAAAGGAATTATCGGTGTAGAATAATTTTAGTAGGGCTTCGGAACATGAATTATAAGTAAATAAGATTGGGCGAAAGCTGTAGGTGAAGGTAATGAAGAGATTAATTCTAAATGTACCACGGTTAATAAAATTGGCCATCATGATAGTACGGTACTAGATATCAATTGAGCTGTGTGTATACCTTAAAACAATTTGACAGATGAAGAGATATAGAGCAATAGCTTCGTATAAATTAGTGTTAATTAGGTAATTAAGCTTATGGCTTTACCTAGTGCGATTAGAACAATTCTTGCCGCCATAGGCAAGTTAGGTATATTAATTTATATGAGGAAGAATAACATTCCTACCTTAAGATTCATTATGTTTGGAGTGTGTCCGTTTAAATGTAACACTCTTACAGTAAGCTTTGTAATCCGATTATTGATCCATTTATGCTACCAAAGATAATCAAAGCTATTAATGTGAACAAGTATTAACTTTCTAATGTTTATTCTTTCACTTTGTGTTACTCAATGGGCGTTAAGTTAAAGGAGGCTACCTATCTTGTATCTCAATATCTATACAATATCTATTCGTTTTATTTTAGTAAAAAACATTAAAAGTTTTACCATAAGTAATCAAGATGGATAGCTATTTATCCGCCAATTATTTAATTGTACTTCGCATTAGATAAAAATTCCTTGAATTAATGATTTCTGGATAAAGTTTTGTTCTTTAAGACTTATCCGATATTTTCGATTTAATGTGCAAAATAAAATGACTACAAAAATTACACATATAAATTATTGTATTGGACGGTAACAGTCACGTACGTAACGACCACACCCATCAGCTAATTCGAAAGAAAAAAATAGAACATTTTTCGGAAACTTTATAAGTTGTTCAACTTCAATTTTATGTCAAAACTTTTAACACTACGAAGCTACGAAGTTGAGTCCACAACGTACTCCGATGTACTTGAATGTATGTGTGACTTTTTACATGGCTGTTGTAAAAAGATTGTAGCTTCAAGGACCAAAGTCATGTATGTACGTATTCCCTCTATTCGCATCTATGAGTTTCTGAATCTGTGTGCATCTATCTTTGTCGCTTGTTAATGGTTTCATTTGTTTTATATAAAACCTTTATTTCAGATAATCGAATTTTATTATTTATGAGCTCTTTTCATATTTTGTATTCCGAGGATTTTTTCTATTTTTATTCACGCAACATTGAGGATTTTCTTTTTACTCTGACTTTGCTAACAAAATTTGTCATATCTTAGCACTTTTTTCACTGCTTATAAATTTAATGTCTTCATATTTTCGTTAAGGCGTTACATGGGGAACGGATGACATTTTGCTCGTGGGTTTTGATAACTTTTTTTACATTTGCTGCCAATTTTAAACTTTTCGTTTTATGAAACAATTTCTTCTTTTTTCTTCTTTTTTCACATTTATTGAGTACTACAAGTATGTGTATCTAAACTGTGAAGTGTAAGGTTTTCTGGGACGATTATTGCTCGAGAATATGCGTGATACTGTTTATGAGTGTAAAGAGTTTTAATTGCTTTCGCTGTTGGTGTCACTTATAAAGACAATTTTCAGGGGTTACGCGATGTAAAAAGTTTTTCAATTAAGTCGTTGATTGGGTTTCTGCTTTGTTTCTCTTTATATATTTATTTTAATAACAACCATGAAACAATACATAATTTTATCACCTATTTTTAGTCGCACATACTTTGGGTGGTAATTAAAATACTTGTTCCCTTAATGTCTTTATAAGTTTTTATAAGCCACTTTCATGTGCTGTATAAAGTAAGACGACATTATTATAAAAAGTTATATATTGTATGCTTCAAGCTAGGTATTTTAGTTTAAATTCAATAAGAATATTTTATAACCACAAAATGTGTTAATATTTGCTATAGATACATTAAAGTGATCATTAGAGGATTTAATTATTTTATTTAATATTTTAAAAAATTTGCTTGAAATATTACAAAATAGTATTTCTATAAACTGATTTTTTTAAAGCTTAATCGTAAGTTTAAACGAAAATTTCAAAATTAATATCATTTAACTAATCACATTATGAATGTCGCAAATATCTCGAATGTCCAAGTCCAAATTAGACAATATGGGGTGGGCGTTACAGCTGTGTCTTTTATAGTTCAAAAACGCAGGACTTCTTTCAACATAGAGATATTTCAAACAACTGTGAAGCAAACAAACTTGCTAAAGCAATAACGCTGCTCTTCGATATTAACTTTTCAGATACCTGTATAGCCTCAACGACTAAACTAGCAAATAAACATAAAAATTTGACTTTAGAAATGAAAGACTGGGAAGGATAAATATTCTTCACAAAACAGAACACAAAACTCGCATAATCAAATTAGATAAAATTAGCTGTAGTCAGTTGATGAAACTAAAGTGGAAGCGACTCAGTGCTAGGGAATCGGTACTGACACTGCCACTGCATGTAATACAGTAAGACTATATCTACCATTTTATGAATTTCGTAGGCATAGTGACTTTGTTGAGAAGCAGAAAACTGTACTCTACCTATGTGTCAATGCCCATCATTGGCTAGGAGAAGATTCAAATTCGTTAGAGCTTTTTTTGCTAACTAACCTGTCATGCTTTCAAATTTGAGATATATATATATACCAATATTTACTATAAAAACTCTTTGTCGATAGCCTTCTACTATTTCTATACGAACTATATTTAAGTATTTAACAAAAATCGCTTTGACTTATAGTTACAAAAAGTTTACTAATATCTTTACATATATTGGCTCTGTTTTTATTTATTTGTAATTGAACAGTTGCAAATATATAAAGTTTTCAGGATATTTAAGTAAGAATAAACGTTATTATACAAAGACACTTATTATACAAAAATTCATCACTAAAATCAAAAAAAAAAAAAAAAAAGAAAAGAATATTTTAACAAATAATTTATAATATATAATCTAATTCATTTACTCGTTAAAGACACCGGTTTCCTATTCAGCTGCATTAAATGCAGGAAAAGCCTTTTGAAATTTACGCAATTCTTTAGTGGCTTTCTGATCCAATTTTTTTGCTTGCTTTTTAGAAAGTGGTACTTGGCTAGACTTCTGCGCCTCCTAATAAAATTACTAATTGTAGTATTTTTTAATTAAAATTATTAGTTTACCTTAGTGTCAGCACAATTATTAATCGGTACCCATTTTGGTTCCTTAGGCTTGCCATTTTTTTTTTCATCCATGACCAATGTACTCTTAGTAGATCCTGCGCCCATAGTGCTAGATTTTGCGATATCTTTCGGATCTTTAAAGAGTTTGTTTTTGATTTCTGACGCCGTAATCAATCTTTGCCCATAATCCACGTTTTTAGTTTTGTAACCGGTTTGCTTCTTCGATGCCATTTTTTTTAAATAAAAGTAACAAAATCTCTCTAAAATAAATATTATTACTAAAATTAAATTTGTATTTTTAAAATAAGTTGAAATAAGTTTTGATTTTGAAAATAAATTAAATATCACAAATTACTGAGATTAGATAGTTGTTTTTTTAAAGAGATTTTGAGGGTTTTATAGTTTTTTAACTTTCACTTCAATAGCGAGATGTCAAACTAGAATTGACGATATCTAAGTTGGTGTGTGCTTGATGGGATTTCAAGGATATCAACTGTTATGACCACTTATGCATGATCAAATGATTGATTTACATTTCTACAATTTTCAATAAAGGCTGTTGAATACGTTAAAACAAATACTAAAAAAATCTGTGTTAAACTTAATCAAAATGAAAGAAAGTCCCACTCAGCCAACTACATAGGATACCCCTGCGCTCCGCAAAACCTAAAAAAATAGAATGTCTCCACATTAATCTCACCAGTCAGCCATCATTATCGTATGCCGATGCTGTGAAGAAACGAAGCAGATCCCAGCAACTTCCGTCCAATTCCCACTTGCCGGTTTCGCACATGGAGAAACTTATGGATAATATGCAGACACAACTCAATACAATGATGAAAACTATGATGCAGGCTATGTTACAAAATTTATTACCAACCCTTGTTTCTACGGTCCGTCATCAGTGAAAAGATAAATAAACGATATTAGTTCAAGTATAGTTAAAGTTTAGTGTGGGGCAAGGATAAGCCACAAAAGAGTAAAAGTGCGCAACAACATACAAAGGAATTATGTGTCATGAAGACTAGTCATGATGTGTAGTGTACGATCCTGGTCTGGGACCTGAGGGCATGAGGTCTCACTTTGCTGACCTCACAAAAATTGAGAGCCCTTATTTAAGACGTTGAAATGTATCCACTTTTTATTTATAATATTAAATTGTCTGATTATTATTCATTTTGATGTTTTTGAATTTTTGAAAAGGCCATGATTACATTTTCCTAAAGAAAACCCTGGACATCTTCAATAAAGAAATAATGTTTCAAATATAGAGTTAATATAGTAGTCTCAAATATAGTAGCATTTTATTTTAAACCGCCACCACTATTTTTCATGTTTTCTCCTATCAATACATATAAATATTTGTCAATCCTCCATTGCATATGAAGGCAAATTTTAAGACCTTTCTTCACATGCAATATTCTCATACTCACTTAAATGAACATCAAATATTTTTTAATTCTAAAACTTCACCTTTATTAAAAATAGCTGTTTCTTGCTTTCATGGTAATGACGTTAACTGTTTGAATATTTTTAATATGAATAACCCTTATAACCCGAATATTTAATATATAGTTAATACAATTTATAAACATTAATCAAATCAATTATTTACCAGAAATCCTATTACGTCGCTATTAGAACCGAAGTGTGAACCGTGCTTGGTTGGCTGTATTTGATAGTGCTAAAATAATGTATCGCAGAGTTCGCTATGTAGATTTATTTTTTTTTTTTTACAACAGCAATGCAGATACTTTAACACTCTATGGCTTTGTATGTAATAAAAAAATTGTTAACATTAATAACAAAATTCAATATATACAAAATATTATAAGCATACTTAGGCTTTTCTATATCCACTGATATTCTGCAAGTCAGAAATGAGAGTTTTGGCGCTTCTTGCTAGAGTTGCGTTTCTTAAATAGTAGTAATTTTTAATTTTTAGACAAACTATACTCTTATTACTTTATTATCCTACAATAAATTTTATTTGTATCAAATAAAGCTCTCAAATGATATAAAATAACAAGCTCAAAATATTTGTTTAGAAGTAAAAAAATTTTAAACGCAATTATGTCAAATAAAAGTTTTAATAATTTTGTTTTAACATTTCACATGGCAACTTAGATTAAGTATTACTACTTAATATAATAGTTGTTATATTGTTAAGTTTTTCATCAAATACATCACAAAAGTATATTATTTGACGTGAGTTGATGTTTTCGTCTGTGCCAATTTTGCAATCCTCCCACTTAATTAACCTTAATGAATCCTTTTACAATTTTATTACTCACATGAATAAACAAATTAAAATAAATGCTATTGACTGTGAATGCCATAAGTCGTATAAATAACTTCATGGCACACAATCCAATTATTTACCAGCATTTGGTGACATACTCGTATACCGACACCAACATACCAAATGTGACAACGGAAAAAAGGATAAAAAGTATATATATTGTTTGGTTTCAATGTCGCTATTTGTTTAACAGAGTGTACATTAGAGTTATGCTACTACCTTCGCCTACATTTGATATAATCCATTTTTTATTTTCAATTTCAAGCTTAATACTTTCCTATCTCACGTTATGTGTTACGTTAGATTTCGTGACATTATGCTACGTTACGTTACGTTACGTTCCTTTGCAACCTGCTATCGGCACAATAAACATCTTTTCTAGTTAAATTGAAAATTTCATTAAATATTCGCACATTTTTTACATGTGAGTGCCTTTACAACTACCTATTATATCGTACAATACATATAACATGTCATATGATTGTACCTGTACATTCACATATCACAGATAGTAGACACACGTATGCCATGTGCCTGGTAGTGCCTTGTACAAGCACATTTTTCCACCTTTTCTCATATAGATAAATACGCTGCTATTGTATTCGAATTTATTTGTTTTTCATACAAGAGCTTACGTGAAAGTGCAAATGTTGCCACTTTAGAATTTGGGTCCCCCAGCATATCTCATCAAGTGATACTTTATAAAAAGTGTTTAAACTTTAAATTCAAGTTTTTTGTTTCTTTTATTATTTATTTAAGAATTTCTTTTTTAACATTACAAATTGTTTGTATAAAAGTTTTATACAAAAACTTTTTATAAAATTAGTCTACCATTATTTTTAGTACTGTTAGCTAGCACTTTTTTTCCTCCTATATTTTATTTTTTCTTATTGTTCATTTTAAAAATAACATATGAAACAACAACAATGCTGGCTTATTTAGTCCAACCTTTTTGAAATTGCTTAACTAATAAGCACCTCAAATCACATGGTTTCCAATACTAAAAATTCGTCTATTCTGAACGATTTTTGGAAGTACATACGAAATTTCCGGTTATCTTTCAACGAATGATTTCGTTAATTATTCGTATTTCGTGTTGTCATTGTACGGAACAAATATTTTATTTGCTCCATGTATTATTTTACTGTTAAAAGATATAAAAAAATATATTTTGTTTATAACCAGGTAAAAAAATATTCTCATCAATAATTGCAAAGAATTATATATAAACCGAACAAAATCGCCATTTTGTCTAGAATTGCCATTAAAAGTAGTGCTTATTTTATTAACTCTTTTGTGACATGATTACGAAAGAAAACCTAATATTAGTAAGCAGTTTTACTGTTTTTGATATATTTCAAACAACAACACTACTGGCTTATTTAATATAATTTCTTCGAAACCGCTTAACCGGTAAGCAACTTACAACGCAGGATTGCCAAAACTATTCGTCTATTGTGAATTATTTTAGATATATGTACAAAGTTTACAGTTGACTGTCGAAAATATTACTATAATGTTAATTTTTTTCTTGCCCAAAGAGATGCGTCTTTATGACAAAAAGAAACTATTTAAAAGTTAAAAGGATTCGAATAGCAAAGAAAAGACAAGGACAAAAATTTTATTTAATTTATTGAAATTTAGCCTGACACTTGCAGTCCAAACAAATTATATACGGACTATAAACTAATTAAGAAATTCGAATATTTCCTAAGACACTGATGATGAGTCAGCGAAATTTCAATAAATTAAATTAAATTTTTGTCTTTGTCTTTTCTTTACTATTCGAATCCGGCTAACTTGAAAATATTTTTATTTATTTTCATATTTTGTGGATATATTTTTGACATAAAATAAACATTATGAATAAAGCGTAAATAATTAAAAGCTCTTAAAGCCAAATTAAGAAGTCTTACCTATATGAATATAATTGTTGCTTGTTCGCAAAACAATCACAGCTTCAAAAATATAATGAGCAGAGTATATATAATGAGCAAGTGGGACAATTTGAAATATTATTTTGCTCTAAGACGGGTTACTTGTAACAGGCCTTTGTCTGTTTGCTTTCTATAGATCTTTTGTTGTTACTCTCACTATAAAAAAAAAATAGCAGGGTACTGTTTAAATCGATATCAAGTTCGCTCAGGTAACTAATCATGGGTTTCAAATATAAAACCCGAATCGTCAACTCAAAAGAACCATATAAGTATAACAAATTTTTTAAATTTTATTAAATCTTTTTTGAGAACAGGACGATTTTGTATTTTTTCTTATCAACGGCACACAAAGCGGAGAAATCTTGTTAAAAATTGTCGTATGGTTGATTTGTTAATGTAGAGCTTTCTAATATATATTCAGAACTTCCTTACTTTTATACATAGACTTTGTTTCCATCATATTTAACAGATACTTTATTTGTTCTTTTTTACTATATATACATATATATGTATGTAATATTATCCTCTTAGATGGAGAATATAGACTCTATTAGAACATTATAGTTTATATAAGCTCAGTTTTACAATGTACACTTAGCTTAAGTCATTCTTAAGTATTCGATATTCGCCACTGAAGCGATACTTAAAAAAATAAGGTTTTATTAAATAAATATATATTTCTTATTGATAATATAATATCGTAATAATTTTGTTTCTATTATTTTTAGGTGGTTCCGATAGCAATAAAGGAAAAAGTAAAAAATGGCGCAAAATACTGCAATTTCCTCACATATCGCAGTGTATACATCTCAAAGACAAACTAGGTAAATATTTTTATTAATACATTATCTTTTTTTTTTCTTTTTTTTTTATCTTATACATATTTTATCATATTTCATAGATATAAGTTATGGCTACGTCATAGACCAACAGCCTATAGGACGCGTGCTATTTCGACAGTTTTGTGAAAATAAACGTCCTATTTATTTTCGCTATATATCGTTCCTTGATGAAGCGCAAAGGTTAATATCACAAATTATAATTATTTGATGAATAAAATAAATAAATTAATAAAGTTTATTAAATACTATACTTAAAAAATGGTACAGATACGAAGTGGAATATGATGAACAACGAATATCCATAGCACGTGATATTGGTCATAGATTTTTGGCAATAGGCACACCAATCGAACTGCAAAATGGTATTCGCAGCGATATAGAGGAGTGTGATGGTAGCAGCAATGCAAATGAAACTACTACTACAACTACAACAGCTGAGACTGAAAAATGCAACAATACCACCGTCAACAATAGTTGCAATAGCAACAGCAACAATCATAAAAATATTGAGAATGACGTCAGGAATCATAATGGTGACGAGCATAATGGGATTATGGAAACTGTTGATGGACAAACGACGCAGTTCGTTTGCAGCAATGATAGTGGCGGTGGTGGTGATTGTGTAAAAGATATCAATTGTCTCGATTGTCGTCATGCCAATAGTGTTGTTGGAAAACTGATTGGTGAAGGTGCTGATGAGTTGGTGCTTGATGTTCTTAATGATGATCTCATAGCTCGAGTCCGTGATAAGATAACAAGTGGCAGCAAAGAACTTTTCGAACCATGCGTTACTGCAGTGAAAGCATTTTTGGCTGGTGAACCATTTCGAGAATTTGAGACTTCAATGTATTTTCATCGGTGAGTTTTTCAGTTTCTCTTTTTTTTAACTTTGAAATTTTTTTATCAGTTTTATTCAGTGTTTTAAGTGCAGTTAGGTAGCAGTTTTTATTTTCTATTTTTTTTTTTTTCAACTTTTGTTAATTCTAATCCACGATAGAAGTAAAGCATTTACTGCATAACTTATAAAAATTTAGATCAATAAGACAAATTATATGCAACGTGATATTGACTTCTTTAGTTTTAATTATGTTAAAGGTTTTTTGTTCAGCATTAATTGTTTAATTTTTTAATTTTTTATCAGTATATATAAACATATAATAAATGATGAAAAATATGAATAAAAGAATTGTAAACTTGCGTAAAAGGGTTTCCCAACGCAAATAATAAAAGTTAATATACGCCTACACTGCTCAACTGTTTAAATATTTACTTTATAAAGTATGTAGATATGTATTAAATTCTTAATATATACAAGAAAGCAAGTTTTTCTTAATAATAATAGCGAGAATAAAACAAATTTCTTTTCAATTGAAATAAAAAATTGTTTAGTTTTTCAGTTTTGTAAACCTCTTATCGAAAAGTATTTTTAGTATTTTATTTGCAATTGTAAGGAATTTCATACAGACTGTGTCATACTTGATTTTTTAAGAATGAAATTCTAGTAAACAATTCTTTTGTACTTTAAAATATAATATTTCAAAAGAAAAATAGAGATTTAAGATTCAAATGCCAGGAGAAGTTTGTTATTATATGGGTTTTATTTTAAAAGATTCTGCCTTGTCATAATATTGGAATGGTCTAAAAGTATTTCATGTTTTTCAGTGAAACTTTAATTGTTTATTTTAAAAGTATTTTTAAGTATTTCAACCTCCTTCTTCCATTTCCTAGTTAGTTTTATATTTTATATTCCTTTCATAGTTCTCTTTTGACGTTAATTTTATGTCAACAAGATAATATTACAGAGATGGAAATAAATAATAATCTAACGATATGTGGGTGTAGTGTTATTATTCTAAACACAACAACATTTACAGCCACTTTTTTTTGTTAATTTCTTGCTTTTCATTAACTGTATCGTAGAAATTCAAATGATTCCTAGTTTTGATATAGTAAATTATATTATATGATAATCCTGCAATTCCATAAAAGATACTACCATCACCATTCTTGCCCTCAATCGCAATTTGTCACTGTTTGTCGAGTTTAATATGTTTTAAGCAATATTAGGTCTATACATAATTAATATATATAATCCACTTTTTATCACTATTTACTATGCATCTCAGAAATGATCATACTTCATTCTGTTTCAAAGCGAAATTTCATGTAGTTATGTTATGTTATGTTAAGCCTTTTCCGAGTTAGTGCATCTGGGCAGTTTTACTCTTTGATAGCTGGGTGGTTTCTGCAGAGTCCCACCCATCTCACTAACTAATTTGTGTATTCCTCATAAGCTTCGTGATTATTCAATGACTGATATAAGATCTGCGTACCGCTCCGTGCGATTAGTGATTACTTTGAGATTAGATAGTACTAACTAGGGTAGCCTGTCGGTTTTCGCATATAGCTTCAGTGCTCTGTTCCGTATCTATTTTTTGACCGGATCTATTCTAAGGTCTCTTAGCATGTCATTCGACCGGATGTATCATGGTACTTTGAAGAGCCTGACTTTAAGCAACTTGTAGCTTTTGAATAGTAGAGCCGCGACACACCCATAAAGTAGTGCTGGTCTAATTATCTGGCTGTAGATCAACTCCTGTTCTTCACGCTAAAAATGTTGAGTTTGAAAAGTGGTTGTAAGAAGTGCAGTGTTTTTGGGCAACTACTTCTTTTGACTTGTATGTGCTTGTGCCGAGTGAACCGCTTATCAAATGTGATTCCTAAGTATTTAATGATGTCCTCCCAATTAATCGCGATGTCACCGACTCTCACTCTCGCTGGATGTTGCCTGTGTTTACGAGTAATAAATAGTGAGTGAGTTCATTTTGTTTTATTGCAAATGAAATAGCTTAATGTACTAAGAACTCAAAAAAATATCTTCATTTTGAAACCTCCCTTATATAAACGTTTTAAAATAGTCGCCGCGTGGTCAATCATCAGTTTCTTTATAATGCCATAAGTGCTCACAGTTTTCGTAAACCTGATCCATAATTTCGTTAACTTTCTCGGTGATAAGTCGCCCATCAATGTAGAGAGTGTTCTTCACATCCTAATTTCTAAATTAAAAGTGGATGAAATATTTCCTGGTATTTGATTGGGATATAATATCACGATTTTTTTTCTATGCTTTTCTTCGTCCCTAACCAAACTCTATCTAATATATAGTAAGTTGGTAACATACTTCAGGCCTTTTTATAAAGAAACAGATAGATACTTCCCAATCTCTTATGGAATAGGTAACATTTACAAAGTTATTAGGGTAGTACCTTAAATATACATACTTTTAAAATCGAGATTATTTCTTAAAGTTACTTATATACAAATTATTAATAACTATTTATTTGTAGATATTTGCAATGGAAGTGGTTGGAAGCACAACCCATTACCTATAAGACATTTCGTATGTATCGTGTGCTAGGCAAAGGAGGATTTGGTGAAGTTTGTGCATGTCAGGTAGGTTGCCAAATCAACAAATTTAAAATTCTAATCAACAAATAAAAATGTTTCCCATCCTCTGTAACAACAACAACAACAACACAACAGGTACGTGCCACAGGAAAAATGTATGCATGCAAAAAACTAGAGAAGAAACGTATTAAAAAGCGCAAAGGTGAATCAATGGTCCTAATTGAAAAGCAGATACTACAAAAAATCAATTCACGTTTTGTAGTTAATTTGGCTTATGCATATGAAACTAAGGATGCACTTTGTCTGGTGCTGACCATCATGAATGGTAAGTACTTAAAAGAATGTTAATTAAAATCAAGTGTGCCTTGATAGGCTTCATCATATAGGCATCATATGCTCTTCATATTAAGCTCTACATAAAAGCTACTGGTCAGGAATTTGCCTGTGTAGAAAAAAATTTCTGAAGCACTTGCAATTAAGGATGTTAAGGATGCTGCTTAACATCCATGCAATCCATGTAAAGCAATTTTTTTTTCTATTACAAATTGCTGACAGAGTTAGGAAATGGTATATAATCTAAAAATTTGTAATACTGTTTGCAATTCATCCTTGTATATCAAATTTCAACAATTTTTCGGAAATAATATTTTTGTTTTATGCATCATGCACAATACGTATAGGAAGTGAATATGCATATCATTTACATTCTCTATAAAAAAAAAGTGCAAGAATTTAAAAGTATGCATATTTATATTAAAAGTGCTTACATACATATTTTTTTTCTTAAATCAAAAACTGAACACTCTTTCCAATCTTTCAACTTCTTATTCCAGGTGGAGATTTAAAATTTCATATATACAATATGGGTGGTGATCCTGGCTTTGAATTGGGACGTGCTCGTTTTTATGGTGCTGAAGTGGTGTGTGGGTTGGAGCATTTACATCAACAAGGCATTGTTTATCGCGATTGCAAACCGGAAAACATATTATTGGATGATCACGGTCATGTACGCATTTCGGATTTAGGCTTAGCAGTGGAAATTCCAGAAGGTGAAATGGTGCGTGGACGTGTGGGCACAGTGGGTATGTAAAAATTATAAAAATCTTAATATTCCAAGTAATTTAAATAAAATAAAATCGAATTATTATTTATAGGCTACATGGCTCCTGAAGTCATTGACAATGAAAAATACTCATTCTCACCAGACTGGTTTAGTTTTGGTTGCTTACTATATGAAATGATAGAAGGACAAGCACCGTTTCGCATGCGTAAAGAAAAAGTAAAGCGCGAAGAAGTCGATAGGCGGGGTAAGGGAAGTTTTTCACCATATCTTCTCATATAAATATGATATATGAAATTAATTTTTATATAATTATATTTTTAGGAGGATCCAGAAAAGTATTCTAGTAAATTTAGCGATGATGCCAAATCTTTGTGCCAACAATTGTTAGCAAAATCAATCAAGTTACGCTTAGGCTGTCGTAATGGACGATATGGGGCACGTGAAGTTAAATTACACCCCTTTTTCGATTGTATTAATTGGAAACGACTTGATGCTGGCATGGTAGAACCACCATTTGTACCAGATGTAAGCTCATAATAATTATAAAAATATTTTAAGTGCGTGGTGGGAAGTTTAGAAAGCGGAAGTGAATTTAGGATGGGTGGGGCTTAAAATTAAAACAACCGGGATCAAGACGGAAAAACCTGCCCATTTCAATGGAGTGGGTCCAAAGGTCGATTGTTTATGGTTTAAAGTTTTTGTGTGCAGTAGTGCAAAAGAACAGATGGGCGATGTCATAGGGGGTAAAACTGTAGATTGCGCACTACCACAATATAATGTATTAATTTTATTTTTCAGCTTTATTTCTAATTTATAGTATGTTTGTAATAATTTTAGTAAATATTTATGTAGGAAATCTTAATCTTGAATTTTATTTAACGTTTATTTATTTTTATAGCCACATGCAGTTTATGCCAAAGATGTGCTCGATATTGAACAGTTTTCAACTGTAAAAGGCGTAAACATTGATGAATCCGATGCAAATTTTTATACGAAATTTAATACAGGCTCAGTATCAATTTCATGGCAAAATGAAATGATGGAAACAGAATGTTTTCGTGAATTAAATGTATTTGGTGCTGATGAGTGTCCCCCACCAGACTTACTTATCAATGCAACCCCAATACCAGATAAAGCGGGTTGTTTTCCATTTAGAAGAAAGGTAAAACTTTTCTTTTATTATGACTATCCAAAAAAAGTTATATAACAAGTTTTTTTATAATGTATTACAGAAGAAGCAACCTGCAAGAACGCAGCCAATACCCATTCCTGAACATCTGTTAACCACTAGTCATAGTGTATCCTCAACTACAGTTGAAAGCTGATAGAACAATTGAATTAAAGCAAAATTTTTTTGCAAATTTCACTCTAACTGAATACAAACTAAAGATACTTTAAGTTATTTTTTTCAATTTTTATAAATAACAATAGTTACACACTCATACGTAATAACATAATTAATACACGTAACATAAAAAAAAACAAATTAATTTAAAAAAAATTATTTTTCTTTATATGATATTTATTTTTAATATCAAAAATATTGAAAAGACTTTTATATTGAAAAAAAAAATTACTGATTGTAAAAAGTCTCAGCAAATCAGTTTATGCTATAACCTTGCAAACTTGAAAATAAAATAAAACTTTTAAATTGTTTTAATAGAAAAAAAATTAGTAGAACATGAAATAGAAAAAAATAAAGAAAATGTGTTCCATTATTCCAAAAATAAATTAAAAATATAATATCTTTTTTAACTACACAATTGTGAAATATGTTAATAACATATTTAAATATATATTACCTAAACAAATAATGCATAATATGCATTTATCTTTAAATATTTCAAAATCCAATTTTACTGCTGAACCATGTAATAAATGTTTTTATTCAAAACAAAAAAATATAAATAATTAAACATTAAAAGATAACCATAAATAAGCATCAGATTATTACATAAACTGGTCCAAAGGCACTATTTGATTAAAGAAATACTTTTAATTATTATGAGAGTTTACGAAATAAATATCTGTAATTTGTAACTCTAACTAGTTAATCAGCACATTGTCGTATTTATTAAATTTAAGTAAAATCATGCAAACATTTAGTGTATTTCAGCTGCAGAAGCAGCAACAAAATATTCATTTTAAATATATATATAATATTAAAAAAGCATCATTCAAATATATAGTAAATAAGCAGATTAAAATATTCGAAAAACAAAATAATTTTAAAATATTTCAAATAATTGTACAAATTTTTACTACTCCAAAAAAGTATCTATTACACCAGATTAAATTACTTTATCCAAATAGTATTGATAAAAAAAAATAAAATATAAATAAAAATTAGTTCACATGAAATTACTTTAAATTTTAACCGTTATTAGACGGCAATAACTTTAAAAGTGCCCCTTTTTTTAGTATTTTTTATTAATAAAAGTAAGTCTTTGACTGCTTTTGATATTAAATTATGAATTTGTATTTACCGCATTTATATATATAAATTAATAAAGTATTTGGGTTTAGTTTTGTATACTGTGACCCTATGCTATCTTAATAAGTTAATGCAAAATGAAGTTATGTACTTCGGGAGTAGTAAATATTGAAATAAAATTTTACATATAATTCTTTTATATAATATTGAAAACCAATTAAAAACTTATATTAGTATTGCTGATGATAATTTAAATAAAATGTAATAAAATTACAAAAGCACAAATTTATGTTAAAAAAATAAATAAAATTTTTATTTTAAATTTTTTTTATGAAAATTATACACTAACAAAACTAAAAATTTGATCTATATGCAAAAATTTTGTTAGGCTTTAATTAAATAAAAAAACGTTGCAATATTTTTTTATTATATTAAAACTATTATTTGTTAAATGAAATCTCTTTTATAAAACACTTTGCACAAATAACTATTATGTATATTTTTATATATATATTTTATGTTCCATTTTTATATGTTTTTATATTGACTTTTTTAACTCATAAAGTGTTTAGCCTTATTTGAATTTATAGTTTTAAAAATGATTGTTAATAAAAAAAAGTGATTTGTAATATATTTTATTTTAGTGTAATTAAAATTATTTATATGTATACAATTAAATTAACTTTTTATATTAATTTAAAGAAGAGCTTAAAATTGTGCTAATAATATTTTTAAAAAAATTTTTAAAGATTACGTACACTTTATTACAAATATAAAATGAATAAAAAAACAAAATAAATTCAGCAAGAAAAAGTGAAATTATATTAATTCATTGATAAAAAGCAGAAACAAAAACAAAATATATCGTTGTAGTTTTAATTGGTGTCATATAGTAGAAATTAATAAAAAAAATAAAATTTTTAAAAATATCTCAAATGCTTGAATTAATAACTAAAATAAATATAATAAAAAATAAATTGTTTAAAAAAATATTTATTTTTTCTGAAATGAAATTTATTTTCCAAAATTTGACATAAAATCGAACTGTTTTTAAAGTATGAGGAGGTTGGGTAGATTGAAAGAAGATTTTAATATAATTACAACACTTTTTCTCGAAGATAGCTATTGCCCATTATCATGCCTTTAAAGTGAGCACACAGTTAAATATATCAATGGCAAAAAGCTCATAAGGGTCGTTCTTGCACGCTCTACTGATGGATTTTATCTTCAAATTATGAGTATATCGACCGCTATATAGCAATAGAACTGACATCAATGGGTTTGAATACAAATGAGGTCTAACAGTCTCGATACCAAAGTGTCATTCGCGTTTGCAGAGCAACACAGTTTTTAATCGACCTCAGCCTGAAAGACGCCTACCATATGTAGCAAGAACACTCCTAGCCAAATTGAGGTCACGTATAAATACACCAATATGCGCTCCAAACATTGCACGTTTACCAAAACGATTACCATCTATTATCATGTTTAACGCACTTACTTTTTTGACTCTTTTTGATTTATAGCTCTCACCCATCGACGTAGTGAGGTCCCTTCACCACTCCATTATTTTAAAGATCTTTGTACTGTAAGTGCTTTCATATTTCATGCTATATAGATCTACACGGATTGCAACAACGAGGAATACTCACTGCTATTTCTGGTACCAATAGCGGCAAACAGTTATCCTACATAGTTTCTGTATATAATCCTATTATATTATTTTTGTTAACATCTTGTCATCTTTTTAGGCTTTCAACCGTTATTTCTATTATAAGTCCATGTGCTATACTACACAAATAAAGTAAAAGATATGCGATCATTCTATCTTTATTATCTTTGCAAGTCTAGTCAGGAAACATTCTATTAAACATTAAACTCACTTCATGTATAATACTGGACAAAAGTTTAAAATTCGATTTAGCTGGTGGTTTGTTGATTTCTTATCATATAATCCATAAATCCATCATCTCCGCATTGTGAATGCATCTATACTGCTAAGGAGTTTAAACATCAGTGTTTGTATTAACCCATAGGTTTCCTCATATCTTTTGGAAGTCTTTTCTGTAGATGGATAAAAACTATGCAACACTATTTCCTTTATTTCTTTTCCAACAAAGTGTACAGTGAAATCGTTCAGGCGAATATAATAGAAGAGTTCACTTTCTATGAATATTTTTAGGTGCAAACCTCGCCAATGAACAGGCGTACAATGCAATTATAGAAAATAAATATCAGAAAATTTAAAAAGAACCGGGAATTGTTTTAATGAAACAATTTCTTAGTTTGGAATAAAATATCAAAAATATTTGCAAAAGTTCAGCTGACAGTCAGTTAAGATTGATTGGATGATTTCACACGAATCAAAACTGGTTTCGGTTAAACTTACGAAACTCATCTATGTTTTGATCTATGATTTTACTTGTGCAAAGATTTGTAACTACTTCTATTGGTGTTTTGAATATTAAAAAATCGAGTCTCATGATCACTTATACTTGTATACTTACATTTAGATTTTTAAATGGTTTGAATTCTAAGAAAAGGAAGGACCTGGTCCCTTCCTTTTCCCATTTCCCACATAGATTCCCATATGTGTGGAATAACTGAACAAGTGAACGTGTTCTTGTACAATAATAATGTATTATAATACATAATTATAATCAATATATTTATTATAATATATAATTTATTATAATATATTATTTATTATTCATTGTAACTACTTGGAATTTATTGTTTATTATTAAATCTATAAAATTACAATTTATATAATTTTATTATATATTTTTATAAATAACAAAAATATATTATAAGTATTATAATATTTGTATTTTATTAATGAAAATATTAATGAAAATAACATTGGATTTAGGTGATTCTAAGATAATTAAACAAATACACATTCTTTCTTCGTTTTCTCCTCGTTAAACTTTTGTATACCCCATTTTTAACCAAAGTTCATTTATATGAATTCAGTCTGATAAATTGACCCAGTCCTGCTCCGCTCTAAAAATTAATCTTTAGAGAAATAGAGAAAAAATGTAAGATTATTTTGCATTAAACCATTTATTATTACCATTCTTTACTCTAGATGTTTTTATATATGATCTATCTTATATTTTAGGATACTTTTTTATTATGCATAAAAAAAATCACATTTGCAATTACTATAATTTAAAAATTTATTATAAAGTATTAGAAAGAAATACCGTGCAAGAAAAATTTTGATGAAAAAAAACGAAAAAAAAAATTTTGATTATGAAAAATAAACCGAAATAAATTTATAACCTTAGTGCTAATAGAAACGCATCCAAATCTTTAGGTATTTTATAAGAAAAAAATTGTTGTATTAAAGCACTAAATAATTTCTACCAATACTTAAATTTTTTCAATCTTCTCTTTAACAACTTGTGGATTATCTCGACGTATTTGCTCAGCACCCATCTCACGATAATTGAATGTACAACTATGAGTATTTGAATATCTATGAGCTGCGCAAAATATTAGTCCACATCTACATTCAAACCCTGTAAGACCTACTTTTCGTCCACATTTTGCGCATCGAATCTTTTTTTTGACCGGTTTATCCGCCTCATGGGAACTACCATCATTTTGATTAGAACCAGATGCTACAGGATCTGAACCAGAAGCGTTATCATTTGGATTTGTAGAGGGTTCAATGGAATTTGGTTCGGCATTTACTTCAGACTTAGATGCAGATGGTTTAGGGTCTGTTTCTGACGGTAACAGTAATTGTGATTCTTCGTTAGTTGAAGCAGCAACATTTTTCATTGTCTTACTATTACCCTTTAGCATGCTTTCATTAGATGGCCCAACTGTATTTTTACTAAGAACTAATCGCTTCTTCTTGCCATTTTGTGCTGTGAGCTTAAAACATACTGAGCATAGACCATCTGTATTTATGGAACCGTAGAATCCACATCCAAAACGACAGAAAGGTTTATTGTCTGATTTTTTTTCGTCCTCTTCACCCATTTCTTTTTTTTTTTTATTAGATTGCATTAATTTGAAGAAAAAAAATATTTTAATAGTTTCTTTTCTTTCGATTTTAACACATATTAATATGGTTACCTTGAAAAATTGGCGGTTTCTATTTCATTGAATAAGACTCTGCACAATGTTTTGAATGGTGGTCTATAATAGATTTTAATATGAAAAGATATGTTTCTAAAAAAATTTGTTTAAAAAAAATTAGTTATTGAAAACAGAAAGGCAGCTAGTGTTTTTCACAATATAGATTTACGTAATGTGAAATTATAAAATTTTAAATAATTTACTATTATAAAATGCTTAGATTAATGGAATATTTTAACTAAAATATGAACAATATAAAAATATTTTTTATATTATTGTTCTTTGACAGAATTTTAGTTTCAAATAGACATACTTGGTAACATTTGGTTTTTGAAAATGACGTTATCATTTCACCGAGCTATATCTGAATCGGGCCCGTAGCCAGATGGGGATTGAATGACTGAAACTGGACCCGATGAATTATATGTATACACTATCATAACTTCATAATAACTTTTTTTTTATATTATTGAAATATTTTAAAAGTCCTCCCGATATAGATATCTGGCTATGTGCGTGGTATGTATATCCCTGTATTACATACATTAAGACCGAAAGGTTTTCGGATATTCTCATTTAAAATTCGCGCGCTGTATATTTTTCGATATTTTAAGTTTATGTAGTTTGGCAGCACTGTTTAATTACTATGCCAAAATGAGCGCGATCTGTCGGACAGTTCGTTTACGGCAGCTGTTGAAACCAGTTCACCTCAGTAGTGCGTTGCGAAAAAAACAATGGAAAAAAATATTGAACAAAGAGTTTGCATCAAATTTTGTTTTTCGAACGAAATTTCGTGTGCAGAATCGTTGCGAATGCTACAAAAGGCTTATGGGGAATCAGTTTTATCGAAAACTCAAGTTTATGAGTGGTACAAAGCCTTTCAGGACTGTCGTACGACCGTCGAAGACATGCCGCGTTCTGGACGACCTTCGACCTCTACCACCGACGAAAACATTGAAAAGGCAAAGGAAATCGTGTTCAAAAATCCTCATGTGAGTGTTAGAGAGATAGCACGAGAGCTAGGCATCGGTCGTGAGATGGCTCGTTTGATTTTGGTGGACAATTTGTGTATGCGACGTGTCAACGCCCGGCTTGTTCCGATTCACCTCAATTTGTTCAACATTATCAACGATTTTAAGGCCAAACATTCAATAAATACCATCGAACAGCCACCGTATTCACCTGATCTTGCACCGTGTGACTTTTTCCTGTTTCCCAACCTCAAATTACCACTCAGAGGAACGCGTTTTGAATCCATAGAAGACGTAAAACAGAATTCGCAGAGGGAACTCAAAGCCATACCGGAAAGCGCCTATAAAATTTTTGATGATTGAAGACGTTGGCATTTGTGTATCGTTCTAATGGAGCATATTTTGAAGGAGATAAATAAATATTGATGAAGGTTAAGAATTTTGCGTTTTATTTAAAATTTCCCGAAAACTTTTCGGTCACAATGTACATATGTATTTTCATAGGTAAATGATGAAAATGTTAATAAATAAAAACAAAAATATGCTTGATATAAATAATAATAATATTAATAATAAGTAATTAAATAATTATTTAGTGTATGCAATTAGTAAATTCTAATAATTTATTATTATTAATAATAATAAATAATAAAATATTATTAATAATAAAATATTATTAATAATAAAAAATAATAAAATATTATTAATAAAAATAAATAATAAAATATTATTAATTAAAGTATGCAATTAATAAATTCTAATAATGTGCTTTGTACTTACCTTCTAATCCTCCAAGCTATAAAAGATTGGTCATCCGAAACTTATAAGCTAAATGGTCCGTTTTCGCTTGCGTCCGGATTACTTTAAACTAAATAAAGTAAACAAACATCACTATTAATAAAATGTGCAAATTTCAGTGAAACACATTACACAAATCGAATTTTATAAAAAGAGTTCACATATTAAATATTTATTTAAAACAATACGAAATAAGAAAACAATATCAAGCAATTTATTAAAGCAATTGAGAAATCTTTTTTGTTCCGAAAAAAGTTGGATGCGTTCTTCGTAAACAAAATATTTTTCTGAATTTATATGTTCACTATGTTATAAGTAATTTATATTTATTTTAAATTTAAATTTATTACAAGTTTGACAATTAAATCACCGCAATTTATTATAAAATATTCTCTTCTAAATGCACGAATGGCGCAAAACACAAAACAATTCAACTAACGGAAAATGTGGCGTATATTGACATAAATCAGGGATGTTCAATTAAAATAAGTTTGTCCAATACACACTGAATAAGATGGACAGCTAGATTGACGGAAATCGGGAGACAGATATTACTATCTCACTCAGATGCTGACCGGACATGAATACTTTTGTAAGTACCTGTATCGCATGGGATGGATGCATTTGCCGAACTGCATTTATGGCGATCGCGACTGTGACGACGCAGAGAACACCTTCTTTTACTGTAATAAGTGGCTCACAAATAAAGAAGAGATAATAGAGCAAATTGGTCCTATAAATCCCGAAAATATAGTTGAAAAGATGAAAGCGACCCCAGAGAGTTGGTGAACGATAGAGTCATATGTGATTCAAGTCCTCAAAAAAAAGAAATTAGATCTAGAAAGGAGAACTAGAAACTAGAACGAAAAATATAATAAATAGAGTAGACACCAAGAAAATGCGGTGGAAAGTGGTGATCTGGACACAGATCAAAAATCACAAGAGCGTGACTTGAAATGCCAACATAATCGACCCTTCTCGAAGTAATGCGAAAACATATGTATATTCACATATATTCTGAAATTAATGGAATTCTTTTTCGAACTACCTAAAGCATGAGAAATGCACTAAATAATTGGTAAAATGAAATAACCTATTTAAACAAAATATTTTGTAAAAACTAAGAGCAAAAACATTTTATAGACATCCTGGTATAATAGTGTAAAATTCATATTAGGTCTGTTCCATTATCTACTCTTAGTAAATTTGGGTAACACTGTGTGTACACAAGCGCGTTCTACCAGTAAATTTTCGAGTAAATGAGAGCATCTGAGAGAACGTAACATCCCTGTCGAAATTTGAAAATGCTACTCAGCCTTTACTTGAATATTTTAATTGAAGTAAAATTTGTGTTCATGTATAAATCAGCTGTTTATACAAAGTTGTTCCCTGAAAATCTGTGTAAAGAGCGAAATATGTCACTTTATTTGTGTTACGCTCTCAGTTTGTACTCTCAGTCACGGTTGCCACTTCAAAATTTTTTTCTGTACCAAAATTGGTTTAAAAAGGTACCATTTCTGTAAAAAAAGGTCCAAAATTTTTTTATTGTCTTTTTATAAGAAAATACAATATATATAAAATGTACAAAAAGTATAAAACAATACAATATCCACAATAAAGTTGGGTCGCCGAAAATGTACCATTTTTTGAACATGAGTACCAGAGTACCAAACTGAAAAAAAAGTACCAATTTTGGTACTAAAGTACCATAAGTGGCAACCGTGCTCTCAGTTTCTATAACTCGAATTTCTCTATATCTCGAAGCAAAATTTTTTTCCGTATCGATAGGCATATGGAGAAAGTGCATTCTGTAAGCCGAATTTTTGTTTTTTATATAAATGCATTTTCCTGTTAGGGGAAGTCCCTATTTCGAAAACAAATGTTTAATTTTTTCTTTTTTATCTTGCTTCTTTGTGTAAATGCCGGTTGTTGGCAGCGTGGTTTCAAATGAATAAAATAACTTCCAATGGTACTCTTTACGATAATATTAAGTTTTACAATGAAATTTATACATCAAGCTTTCCTACAGATGACGATATTATTGAACACTAAAACTCTAAATTACTGGATCCAATTCTAAGCGCAACGGAAAGTGATGATGAGGGTTCGATGGATGTAATTGTTTATCAGCCTTCCAAGAATGAAGTAGAAGACTTATTCAAAATTCTGAATTTATATTTGCAAACAAATGATACTACAACTGATAGTGATAAGAGTATGAATAAAGTGGAAAAAAATTAAAGTCCCAAACCCTAATTTCTGAATATTATACTTCATTATAACTTCTAAGCTTTATTTGATTGCAAATAAATAAATATCTTAAAATGTAATTCTAGTTTCTTACAAAAATAAAAAAATATAAAAAAATTCTCTAACTCGAAGTCCCTATAAGTCGAACCTTTTTTTTGCAAAATTGGACTTCAAGTTATGGAAGTTTGACTATATTTGGTATATTAAAGTAAAATTAGTACTTACAAAAGTATTAAATGAACCTCTAAATGATTAATAATAAATTAAAAAAAATCAAACATTGTTGATTCACGTAAACGATTCGTATGAAAATATATAATCGCTCTTACCACGTAATGGACTCCAATAAAAAATAACAAAATACGTAAGGGACTTGAACTTGAAACCTCGTGCACAGTATTTAAAACAATTTAAGATTTTTATTTAGTCAAGTCAAAATTTTTGAAACTGACTCAACAGAAAAAGTTGAATAAAATAAATATTGTCCATCAAATCCAAGCAACAATTTTCTATATGACGAATACGTCCAAGCACACTAAATAATTTTTACTATTATGTTACAAAATGTATAACAGTATTCGCACAGTTTAGTAGTCTAATAGGAGACAATGTTATACAGAAAGTCATATGACAAATGGTCATATACGCGCAGGATAATGCAGGTAATGCTAGCACCTTTATTCCTCAGTCTAGGTGCGATAAATTTTTTTTGCTTCAAATATGAGTGCACAGATATCGACAAATCTCCCCTCCATCGCTTAGATTATTCTTGTCGTAGGTAAAGAATAAGAGAAAACTGTGATAGTGGTTTAAATGCACACCCAAATAAGATCAATCAATAAACAGAGTGTGATCCTTTACATCATCTTATTTGTAGAATGTGAAAGACAAACAACTATTAACTCCTGCACCCATCGCGATGAAGAGCAATTGTGGTAGCGGTGTGAATAATGGTACATTCAAAGAAAGCAGTTGCGAGAATTTGACATTAAAAGAAATTTAACTGAAACGATATAACTCGCTCCGTAGCCTTCCATATACCGGGGAGTTTTAGATATTCAGCATGTAAAAGTAATCTATTTATATCAAAAATTATCAAATACTCTCAAAGTAATGTAAATGGATAAATCTCGATTCAACACTTGATGAAAAATACACATCACTAACAATGGATTTTGTAGAACGCGGATGATCACTTAGGAATGGGTTGAGAAGGTAAGAGAGGCAGTAGACACACGTGCATTTAACATTGATTTGTGATTATTTTACCGAAAACAACGATTGTTGACATTTGTAGTTATTTATGGTATATAAAGCGATTTATTTCATTATTTTTACAAAAAGAAAAAAATATGTGTAAAAAAATCTGTTTTTTTATTTGCTTTTATTTATTTATTTATTTTTAGTTATTTTAACCCAATAAGCTCATTTCTTGAACCATAATGAAGCGGAACTGCAACGTGTTATCTTTGTTGTTGCGCTGAGGCCAGTATAGTGAAGCAAGCATTCAGCTCCATTATTCTCGAAAGAAATCTCACCAATTTTATATTCTGGATTAAGGGCAACACGTAATATATAATTCCTATTAACAGGTAAATTGGTAACATCAACCCATTGACAATCCAAATCGGCAGTGTACAAATCTGCGCAACCTATTGAAATGCCTAAAAAGATAAAAATATAACACAATTTTTGGATTATACATAATTATAGAGAAATAATTGGAATATGTATGCATTATGCTACATCACTTATAAATAATTTTGTTCTCATAACTGACAATCATATAAGGATATGAAAACTTACCCTGCGTTGTATTGCCACAGGTATATTTTGGTCTGATACCACTCACACATTTCGTATCCATTAAACAAAATGAAGCTTTATGTCCCTGAGCTACTTTTCGATAATTTAGATCATAAATATCAAATGTAGCGAATGTTTCCATGCTATGAAAGTGTCTGTTCAAGATATTATTAGAATAGGAATCAACATTAAATCTACATTTAAACACACCTATGGCATTGATGCCACTGCCATTGGTCATAGTTAGAATAAGGACTGAAATCAGCGTTACCCACATTTTCAGCAGCTGTAGTAAAGCGTAACAAATGTCGTACAGCATGTGGGTTGGTTCTACGTATTACGTAAGCATCACGCGATACACAATTCTCTTCCATAGCACATGTTATACGTGACATTGGTACACTGTCCAAACGTACCGATCGTTCAATATCTCTCAAACCAAGACTTAAGTCTGCACTCCGCATCACACATCGTACTACAGCCACTCTGTTATATTTACTATTACACAAATTGGGATATGCAGCTTCACGAAAACAATCAGCGAGTTTTTTTTCAGTACCTCGACAAAGAGTACCTACCATAGCCCAAGGATGTTCTCTGCTATTGCCGAATTCCGTTGTCTGATTCGTATAAGCTGCATAACCAAAGTTCAATTGACGACAAACCACATTTGCTTCACGGAAACTCCAATTGGTACTACAAATGGTGCCCCACGTGGCACCGTGATTGAAACTAACCTCAACTCGTCCTTGTCTTCCTGTCGCTGTTCGGCCGCCATGAAGACTATTCAAACGTACGAGCATGTTTTTGTAATTATTTTCAATTGTTAAGGCACTATTTGAAACTTCTATTAAATTTAAAAAGAAATGTTTTTTTACTATCATCTATTGATTAAAGAAAGTTCAAGTGATAATTATTTCACCTTGAGCCAGCGTAGCTCCGAGCAAAGAAATCACAACTAGTAAAACGGTAAACATATTTTTTTTTTGTTTCCGGTTGCACTACTCGTTTAAACAAATTACACTGATTAAGTGTTAAATCTTATGTGGAGCATATTATAGACCTAAGTATATATATTCAAAATTTTAAACCTATTTTCGTAAAATATATACAATGAAACATCTGGTTGTTATTCTGTCAAAAATTTACTGAAAATAAATCTGTTTTCTTATTGTTTTACTTTATTAGATATCGACTATAAATATAAACATATTATATAAATGAACATTCTAGACTCTTCTGTACTATGGTATGGATCTTTAGTATAGTTAGATAATACGACGGCGGTTTAATAAGTCAGTGACTTTTTAAATAAAACAAATTTATTTCGGCAAATTAACAATTTATTTTTCTACATAATCACCTTTTAGCTTGATACACTTAGTCCAGCGTTTTTCTAATTTTCTTATTCCCTCCAAATAATAGGTTTTCTCAAAGCTCTCAAAATACGCGTTTGTTTCGGTAATGACTTCTTCATTTGACTCAAATCTCTTACCGCCCAGCCATTTCTTTAGATTTGGAAACAGAAAATAATCGGAAGGGGCTAAATCTGGAGAATATGCTGGATAAGGTAGCAGTTCGTATCCCAATTCGTGGATTTGGGATCGTAATGCTTAATCAGCACACGAAATTCACTTTTTTCCATTTTCGTAAAAATTAACGAGGTTGTCTGCTTTGAGTGGCTATCAAACACCAACTGAACGACGTAGCTTGCTCAAAATTAAAAAGTTGCCCACTGGTAGATTACAGCTGACAGCAGCACTGTTGCATTTGGAGTAACTACGCGGGAAATTCAAAAAGTCACCGACTTATCAAGCCGCCCTCTTAGTTTTGATACATATTATTATATAGATATTAAAAAGGTAGAGTAAAGATAGTGTCAAATTCAATTGTCTACCTTAGATAATAATTTTTCTTTGTAGATGGTAAAGAAAATGTTCTTCGGTTAAGTTAGATTTTAAAGAAATTCCAAGATCCACTTAGGCTTACAATGTCTTAATTTTTAAAATTATAATGTACGATATTTTTGAACAATCTTAAATATTAAAATTAGTTCAATATATGATTAATTTTTATGAGGTTGGGTTTTTTCTAAAATATACAAGAAATCAATATTTTAATAGACAATGTTAGCTATATCGATTGCTAGAGATACTAAATATAATATAATTTACGCCCTATTCATATAAACCAAAGTGTTAACCCACCAATATTTCTTAAGATGTTAGAGAGGGAATTTGAGAATTTAATAATTATATATTTTAAAAATTGGTTTGGGGTGATTGAATTTTATAATGAACTATATGGAAGATATAAAATTGGGTTCAATCCGGATTACATAGACATTTGCATTACAGTAGTCACAAAAAAAAATTCTATTATGTGTTTATATAGTATTTTTCTATTTTTACTACAACAATAATATTTTTACTACAGCAAAAACTAAATAATTACTGAAAAATAATATCCTGCTTATAAAATTAATCCATCATACCATACTCAGCACTTGTGAAAAATGTGAATGGTGAAAAATACAAGTGAAAAATAGATGGGCGGTAGTATATCAATATAACTCAATATCAGAATTCAACGAAGCTCTTATTAGAGTAAGATGAATGGATAAATATAAATAAATATATGATATATTTCTTCTTTTACACTTAATCAAAAATTGTTATACTAAACAGGAAAATAGTTATGATAATATTTAATTATATATTTAACGTATATGAAATCATATTTTTCGTCTAATCATAAACGATAAAAATCTTTATTTTGTATATTAATTTTTTATATTTTAATTTGTATATTAAAAACAAATTTCTTAAATGAATATAATTTAATTTTTGTTTTAATACATTAATTGTTGTATATAATAAAAACTCATCCTTTTCTTAATGGGTATAAAAAAAATTCATTGTCAGTTTTAATTAAATTTATTACAAAATTTTAACAAAAAAAAAATGTGCATACAATAAAAATAAAATATATACCTTAAATTCATGCGTATATGAATAATTCTGCATTAATTGTTTTATGTATATTAAAAAGTATACATATATTTAAATAATTTACTGTATATAAGTACAAAAAAATCAAAGGAGTATTTAACGCTATTTATTGTTTAATTTAATATATGTGTACCGTTTTGGTCTCAAGCCAAACGAGTATTGTACTTTAGCAATAAAAATTATTATTAAAATTTTTTATGTATAGACTTTGGAATATGAATAACGTATTAAAATCATTTATTATTGTCTCATAAAAATGATAATATGCAGTTTATAAATTAAAGTTAATTAAAAATAAATTAAATGTCAACAGAAATGTAAAGCAAATAAAAAATCATTATTAAGAAATTTTAATTACATATTGATCATTGAAAAATACAATTTCTGCTTATTATCAAACAACTTAATTACAGCCTGTGAAAAGGGGAAGAGAATAAAAATACATAAGACTTATATATCTTATGACAATTTCATTTATATCCTTAACAAAATTTATACCTGCATAGTAATATCACGTTAACTATTTATATATTTTGCAATTACAGAAACAAAATATAGTTCACACATTTTATAAATTCTTCACATAGCGCTTATTACTTCTTTTAGATGCTGTGGTGTTAATACGCCTATTTCTGTAATGATACCAGTTATCAATGAAGCAGGTGTAACATCAAAGGCGGGATTCCAACAATTGATGCCTAAATAAAACAATTAAAATTTAATTAATTTTAAGCTATGGAAACGGATTAGTTGCACGAATTTACCTGGTGCAGCGATTCTGTGCTCACCTACATGTGTCATTTCGCGATCAGGTCGTTCTTCAATAATAATATGATCACCACTTGGAATTTGCAAATCGATGGAGGTCAGCGGTGCAGCAACGTAGAAGGGTACATCATGATGTTTTGCGACTACAGCGATCTGATAGGTACCAATTTTATTGGCAGTGTCTCCATTAGCAGCAACCTGTATAATTAAGAATTATTTTAAATGACGAAAATTTAATTAAATCACACATTTAAACATATTCTGTTGTCCACTTACCCTATCCGCACCAACAACAACTGCTGCTATATGTTTCGCTCGCAAGAGTGCCGCCACCATGCTATCCAAAACTAATGTAGCTGGCAATTTCTCGTGTACCAGCTCGTAGGCAGTCAATCGTGCACCTTGATTATATGGACGAGTTTCAGTGCAATAGACATGCTCTGTAATTTTACAAATGTGCTGATTATTAATAAATCGATTCCAAATATACACTCGTCTAATTTATTCCCACCTAATAGTTTTAGTTCATGTAATTTTCGCACCACGCCTAGCGCGGTACCATAACCCGCCGTCGCTAATGAACCAGTATTGCAATGCGTCAACACACGCACTGGTGCTTCTTTGGTGAAGCGTTCAAGTATAGCCTTTGCACCATATGTACCAATGGCTTTATTATCAGCAATGTCTTTTTGTAGCATATCTTCAGTGGCTTTCAGAAATCTTGGAATTATAAAAACGATAAAATTATAATTATAAAAACGAAATAACATATGAAAAGAATATGCGATATACCTCGTCTTCATTGCTTCTGTCGTTACATTTTCGTCTTTGGTCAACTCATTTGCCAGACCGATAAGTTCATCGGCAGCAATCTTCATATTAACTGCAGTCGGACGAGCTGAAACTAAGTAATTTAGTTTGCCTTCGATTTCCTGTCGCAAAGATTTTTTTGTTTCAAAATTTTCTCCGAAGATTTCGACAGCTAGTGAAAGGCAACCCACAATTGCAATCGCTGGAGCACCGCGCACCTAAAACATCAAGAAACATCAAGAAACATATATAACGATGATATTTGGCGATATTTGTTTTCTTTATCAACATTCTAATGCACGCGAAAGATAACTGCGGATTTTCTTTTTATCTACAGATTTTACATGTTTGCAAGATAATTTCGAGCACTTAACTTGTCATGTTTAGTAAAGCAAATGATACTTAGGGAGAATACTTTTTAAAAATAATTATCTTTGGTTTTAGGAACTGACGACAGATTGTGTTGGCTTTGACGTACCTTCACTTGATGAGCAAACAAAGCACATGATTAACATTTACAAGTAAATATTTGAAGATTAGGCTACAGGTAAGGGAAAAATACAAAATGCTAGATTTCTTAGATTTCTGGCAAGATCGGCACACTTGAGAATTGAGCCCATTGCGGTATCATAATTTATATAAAAATGATAATTGTTTCGAGAGAACGCTACTTTCACAACTTTCTGCTCTATAGCAATAAAAAAAACCTTTTTATATTAGAAATACTCGTAAATATATATTGTATATATATAACGAGGCATGGGATTTAACGCAGTATGCCAATGGCAATGAAAAAAGGTTCTACTTTTGATAGATGAGGTTAGTATAAAATGAATAATGAAATTAAAATTTCAACGCGATATATCCTAAAACAGGTGTTGCTTCCCTAGTGGACTTTCTTCTTAACAAACAATACGTTTATACGCACATCTTACTAGGCGAGTTAATGTTCATTAAATATTCAACGATCTTAAGTTCTTGCAGTTGAAAATCTAATTATTATAAAGACACAGTCTCCAAATTGATACTGCATTAGCGTATATAACTGAACGCCCTTGTTGGTAGCTGACTCTGTAAATGGTTCGCTCATTGCAATACTTTATACATCATATTTTTGATATAAATATTAGTATCGACAAATGCAATGAATAAGAGGGAATAGGTCCCTCTAATGTAAGTAAAATTTTCTGAAACATCAAATTCAACATAAAGGCACTGAATATGAACTATAAGGTGGCAGCGGATTAAAACTATATCTTGGCATTGTTGTGAAAGATGCCCTTCAAATATAAAACAGTAATATAAGATCAGACTTAGCACTTTGAATATTGAAAGCTTTAATTAATCTATTATATGAGATGATGAAAAAGTTAAATGGTAAGATAGAAAAGTTAACATCTGCAACTTTTTTATAAATATAATCTACTTATCATTTAATACTTCGAGAGTGATGACTTTTACGTGATCAATGAACGGTACTTGAAGTCGAGTACTTTGTGAAATATTTGACATAGCCTTATTTAATAACAAGTCTCACTGTATTTGGTACAATCATTTGCATATTCCATAAAAGACAGAAAAAAAATATGATGAAAGAAGAGCACTTTGAAAAAATGTACGGCTTAGTCTGATCTACAGCAAATGCATCAGAAGTTCGATCATATATATAGAGATAATGATAAAGTACGTTAAATCCCAGTGCTTATGATGGCGAGAGCAGAGTTGGTTGTGGTAGAGGGAGGAACGAGTTCTTCTCAATTAGCTAAAAAAGCCGTTTTGAATCCACAAAACCTTGTAATAGTGTGTACGAGAGCCATTTATAAAGGCAAGAATCTGAAGGGGACTCCCAAAAACTTAAGGCTTGTTCTGGCCGAACTTGGATATAGATACATCATGGCGAGGGCATATTCAAACAATACACCATAATCAAGCAACCACATTTACACTTGCAAAGCGCGTAGTAGAGACAGGCTAAGTAAAAGATTGATCGAAAGGCAATCTCTAAAAGCCATATTTAAGTGGTTAGAGAACCATCTAACCAATTCTTGTCATATTAAGAACTAAATAAGAAACAACGTCATATTCTCTTATAAAAAGTGTATAAACTTATCTTTAGTTAACTATATTTTGTTGTTAGGGTTTTTTCTCCCTACAAACACATGACTCTATATACCAAAATAGCAGATGTAGATGAGTTCAATTATTTAAAAATTTACCAATATTTTAAGTTCAATAGAAGAAATGTTAGTTTTTTCTATGCGAATTTTCTCTCAGAATTAATATTAATTGCTGATCTTCTAAAAATAATTGCTCTTTCAGATATTAGGTCTTTAAATTGTCTGGGAATGTTTAAAATAAGTTCTTTTCTGTTGCTGACAGTATTTTTAATAATGATTGTCGGTTTCGACGTCGATATTAATTTGTTAAAATTAAAAAATATAAATAAATAAATAAATCCCTAAAAATATAACAAGAAAAATCTGCAAATATTCACACATTTGATTAATGGTTTTATTTTTAGCTGACAGTTAAAAATACTTTTATGGCTCTAAAGAGTCAGAAAAAACAAGAAATAAATAAATAAACAGAAAAAATGAATGAAAAAATAAAAAATAAATTTTATAAAAAAAAGAAGAACAAATGAAATAAACAAATTGTTTAAATAAAACAATTAATAGTGCGAAAATTAACAATAAGTAAAGTAAATAAGCTTTTTAATTATAATTGATTCATGGCACAATTTTATTATTTCATTTAAAATTATTTTTAGATGAACAATAGCAAAACGACGGCACCAATCAAGAATTGTAAAAACATCGCAGAGGAATTTATTTATTTATTTATATTGTTTTAAAATTTATTTTTATTAAACTTAATTGTTTGTGGCATATACAACATTTAATATTATTTGATATTAATGTAAGTTGCTTTATGCTACCTAATTACTTTCGATATTGTATGGAGGCATTGCATCAGTTGTCTATTAAATAGTTGAAAATTATTGACATATAAGTAAAAAAAATAAACAATCAACTCACGATAGACAGCCTTTAAATATTAATCTAAAATAAATTATAAATATTGACTTTGGAATATATTTAGACAAAAAAATATATTATTTTATGCAAAAGTTACAGTTATAAAAGAGATAACTGATCATAAATAGAATAGAATACAGTCCACAATAAACGTCAACAACGCAGATAGACATATGATGATCAACAAGGCAGATGGTCATGTCTATGAAAGCATAATATGTAGAGTATTTTAATTATTTATTATTAAATAATAAGCAATGAATGCACTCCAATCTAAAAGATCTATTGTGCGCCTAAAACCCCAACTAAAACAATTCTAGACTATTTATACATTAAGACCGAAAAGTTTTCGGAAATTCTCATTTAAAATTCGCGCGCTGTATATTTTTCGATATTTTAAGTTTATGTAGTTTGGCAGCACTGTCCTTAATTACTATGCCAAAAATGAGCGCGATCTGTCAGACAGTTCGTTTACGGCAGCTGTTGAAACCAGTTCCCCTCAGTAGTGCGTTGCGAAAAAAACAATGGAAAAAAATATTGAACAAAGAGTTTGCATCAAATTTTGTGTTTCGAACGAAATTTCGTGTGCAGAATCGTTGCGAATGCTACAAAAGGCTTATGGGGAATCAGTTTTATCGAAAACTCAAGTTTATGAGTGGTACAAAGCCTTTCAGTACGGTCGTACGACCGTCGAAGACATTTCGCAACGCACTACTGAGGTGAACTGGTTTCAACAGCTGCCGTAAACGAACTGTCTGACAGATCGCGCTAATTTTTGGCATAGTAATTAAGGACAGTGCTGCCAAACTACATAAACTTAAAATATCGAAAAATATACAGCGCGCGAATTTTAAATGAGAATTTCCGAAAACTTTTCAGTCTTAATGTAAATCTCGTAATTGCTGTGGGTTTACCATAATTTTACCTATTTAATTTGGCACTAAAATCCCGCTTATCACAATTGCCCAATAGGCCTAAGTGGAATCCCCTGGGATCGCCGGTACAACCTAACCTAAGATCCCGCTTCCAAGGAAGTCGAGTCTACGTCTTGCCGCCGCTGGGCAGTTGCATAGAATATGTTCTGATGTTTCCTTATCCTCATGACAGAGACGACAGGAATCACTTTCTACCGCACCTATTGTAGAGAATTAAATTGAAATTGTCAATTTTCGAGTGATAAGTCTATTTTGGTACACACAAGGTTAATTGAAGCTAAACTCCCGCAGGTTTAGTAAAATTTCTACCACTCTGCAGGTACATATTAATAATCTAGTCAATTTTTATAACTCGTAATCCTTAGCGGAAACCTTAGCGGATGTTAAGAGTCAACAATTTCAAATTTAGTGAAATAATACTAATGATACACCAGAGCCTGACTTTTGTTAAAAAGTTGATTTCGAAATACCACATCAAAACAAAGAAAGCAATCTGAATCAGTTTTAAATCCTTTTCAAAATCAAAAAGCTAAAAGAATAGAATATTTATCTATAACGAAGTCATCAAACCGTCTTTACTATATGATTGTATGATTTTTATCACCCTTGAGAAACTGCAAACATTTTAAGGCATCTTTCTATTAAAACAATCAAAACAATTAAAACAATAAATACATAAATATTAGAGCAAATAAATTATTTAGTTCTTAAACTCCGCTTAGAAGATTTCAAGCGATAAATAGAAAATTTACAGGTATCCGTACTGTCATACTTTAAACAAAAAAAAAGGATTTTACAATAAAAGTGATGTGGATTACCAAGCTTTTTCAGTGTCGATCAAATAAGGTACACACAGGGAAAAAAACGGTGCTTTAGAATATATTCACCCCAAAAATTCTTTTGTTTCGCTGAGAAGCGTTCACGTGATAGAGGGAAAATATGCGATATCTGCTTTCTAATACTTTAAGAAAGTAAAGTGGTTTTACAATAACTACGATATAGATTTCCTAGCTTTTACGTATCTATCAAAGGAGGCCAGAGGACGATAGATATTTTAGACTATTTATAATAGACTATTTTAATATATTTTGATTGTGCTTAAATTTAAAAGATAATATTTTTATATAGATATGTGAACATATTTAGTGATATCAGCTGAAAGACAGACATATCATATATTGAAACTACAAAATACTTTAATGAGAACTGAGTAATATTTTTAGTTAAACTTGATTCATAGAGTATCCTTGTGTTAACATAGTTTAAATACATCAGTCTCCAATTAAAGAAAAAAATCTATCTTATTTTTCAACTCTGTTACACACAATGACCTGAAACCTTTTTAAGAATTTTTTTATTGGGTTTTGTTATGAACATACAAAAATCATGCTATTCTATTAAAAAACTAGAAGTCGTCTACCAATATATAGTATTAAATTCCTATTCCATTAAACAATATTAATATTTAGTGCTCCATTAAATCAAACAAATTTGTACACATTTGTTGACAAATTAGGAATCTCTTCATTGAATTTTGTCTTCATAGAAAGTATTCAAATCTATCAATTAATGTCCAATGTTAAGCATATTCTAATGAAAATCGTATCATTTAAAGCATTTAAGATCATTTCAATTTTTCAACAACAAAAGATATATCTGACGACTTTTTTAACAGGTGCAGTAATAAATATCTTAAAGCTAAGACAGATGAGATAATCGAAAATTGTAAAACAAATAAATTTTTTTTTATATCTTTTAGAACAATTCAAGAAAAAATATAAAATTATTCTTGATTTTACGTGAAATAAAAATTTGATTTTATTAGATCTTTATTAGATTAACAGAAATTCCGTGCTTTCTATTGCAAGACATCTAAATTACGATAACGTATTTCATCTGAATTGTTTAATATTTTTCTAATTTTTGATAATTGCTTAAAGTCTGTGAATAGACATCTATTATTTTGTAGCCTGTGACTAGTTCATTAATTAAGTCTTTAGTATTTGTAGATCAGTGACGAACATCCTAAACTTCTGTTTTTTAAAATCACATCATCAGTGTGTGAGAAAAAAGTTCTTTAACAAATTTTAGCATGCAGATAAACTGCGCATTCCTCGAAATCCTCACTGCAGAAGTTGTGGAAACCTACAGGAAAAAGAAACCATAATACATATTCTCTGTGAGTGACCGGCTTTGCCGTCCAGAAGATATAGGTTCTTAGGAAGATACTTCTTTGACAGTTTATCAGACTATTCATCGGTGAAGACGAAAGATCTATTAAATTATCTGAATTCAGCGGGATGGATTTAGTCTTCACTTTTTTGTACTAGGGTTCTTGCAAAGAATGTGATAGCAAAACGGCGAAAAATCATTTATTGAGGTACATGGAAGTTATTTAATGGCCTGCCACTGCAACCCACCAACCAACAAATTTTACTCCCTCTAAGTATAGCTAGCGTTTCATCAACGTTCGGGTCTACCTTCCGATAACACATATCTATTTCAACCAACTATACATTTTCAATATAATGGTATAACCGGTTCGCAAGGGTAGTGGCATGAAGTGTGATATGATTATAACGCGTTAAATGTACTTTAGTAATCAAAGTTTGAGGTGACAAATTCGCACAACTCAGACTCATGTCTTTAACAGAAAAAAGAACTGTAAGTACTATAATGAATTGATAACAATTCGTTCTATTTTTATTATAATAATTATAAATATAATATATATATAATATAGTAGTAATGTAGACAACACAACATAATCAGACCCCAAAGCGTGTTAAATAATAATAAAAAAAATTTGTACATTTTCATTGAAAAATTATTATCAATTTCCATTATTTAGTGGAGTATTTAAATATTTAGATAAACAATTTTTAAAAATTGATTGTTTTTTTTTTTTCGGATAGACTTTTCTTTGACACCCCGTAAGTAATCAGTATTAAAAATTTTTTTCGTTACACATTCTATACATATTGTTTAATGATATATTAACTCAGAATTATGGTTATAAATCGTAACATAATGACAATTTTCTATAGATTAAATAATCTTGAACAATATATTATATATTATATATTGTATATTAAATATATAATAAGATTGAAAAGACTGATTAAAGTTACGCGCCGTTATTCTAAAATCGCTTATCGCTCTGTTTATTACTCTAGCACAGGTGTTTAAGAGCTGTAAGTAATATTTTAATTATTAAATAATTTTTATGGCATGCCCAGTATCTTAATACGAAATTGGATATATAAAACTACAAGTCATTAAATAAAATAGATTAAGTTATTTTAAATACAATATTGTTACGGAATGGTTTATCTCTTAAGTACTAAAAATATAAGCAAATTTTGTTGACTTAGAATCTCAGTTAGCAAAAGAAACTGAAAGAGCTAAATAGCATTTTATTAGTTGTTCTCTAACATTAAAAACTACAGCACACAGAATCTGGGTTTAAATACCAGTAAGGTCTGGTTTAAAAACACGTTAACTTATCTAGTGTTGATAAGAACCACCAACCCAACATATCTCACATTTATTAACTCTACTGTCACAATTAAACTAAGTTTTCTAAAACCGCTAAGATCTGACTTAACATAACAATAACTCATTGCATCTCATTATGCTCACCATTCCTATCGTATCATATACTAAGTACCGTACTCTTCAATTTTCGTTGAAGATTCAACATTTTCAAGCAAAACGAATTGCATAGCCTTCGCTGGGACTAGTGGAACTAGAACTCAATATAAAACAATATTATTCTACTAAGTCTACCTTTTTTATATTTTTAATTTTTTTTCCTATTTCGTCTAGTTGCTGTAAAATTTTTATTCTACTATATAAGTATCCTCAATGGTTCTTACTATAAATTATTTTTAATAAACTATTTTTTTATTCCTAAAATACAAACTCACCTGCATTTTATTGATAACCTTCCAGCCATCTTCAACTCCTTTCACTTCTAGGTATTTTGACTGTACCGGCAACAGCAACTGATCCAGTATCTCCAATCTTCCTGGTGCATATTTAATTGATTCTAAACTCATGTCTTTTATTTATTTAAAACACTGTAAACACATAAATTTTATTTAGATGTATAGATTTATATATTGAACACTTTGGAATAGAGTAAATTAGGGTTTTATGATCTTTTAGATAAAATAATTTTTTTTTCTTTTATTATTTTTAAAATAAAAGTGAAACCGTAAATTTTTCGATGTTTTTACCTTTGTGACGTTGGCGTTTGTGCCAAAAATTGAACCGCAAAGAAACGAATTTATTGACGTTCGACAGATTTTGAGGTGGATCGGGGCGGATACGCGTGAGCTTCTTTTGAATGCCCGTAATACTCGATACAAACACTTTATACAATGATCAAGAACAAAAATTTTTAAATTGGAAAATTTATTTATTTAAATAAAATTAAATTTCATTGGATTTTAATTAATAGTGCCACCTTTGCTGAGGACTCTAATTGATTATATGATTGTGAACACGACACATAACACAAGAATTCAATCGACAACAAACAAAAATTAATTGCAAATTATTGTATTTTTCTTAAATTAAAAAAAAATAAAAATATTCTAAATAATTAACTTCCCGACGTTCAGCACGGCGAATGTCTGATATGCAACTGAGATAACGAAAAACTATCAAACGAACAAAATCATAGCCAGCGATACAGAGAATTGTGTGCCAAGAGTTCTTATTTATTGAAGTGAAATCAAAGTCCCATTCACAGGTTTGTGCTATAGGAAATTATGTATGAAATAGACAAATGAGGTCAGCTAGAAACTTTATATGCTCTACACTTTTGAAAAAATCAAAGATAAGTTTATATAATATAATAAATATTCGTGTTAAATAAAGTGTATATCTGTTCCACTTCGGATCCGTCTTTTTTTTCAATGTTAAAAGGAAAGTATTCAAAGTTATATACTGTGATATCTAATTTTATACTGCTAATCCTATAACTATATATCCTATAAGAGAGACAGTTTCTCGATTGTAGAATAGGATGAAACCAAGGCACTTAGTCAGTTGACTATTGTGCCCAAAATGGAATGATTAGAAGCAGATTCCTAGTACGATAACAGTTCAAAGGGTAAATACTAGTTGGAGGCAGAGAGTCAAATCTTTTTAAATATAAATTCAAATCGAAGTGAGAATCGCATATGCTGGCACATGAAAAACCCTGATTTATGAATATTGATATATGAACTCTGAATTCCTTTCGTTGTTGCTCACGTCACAAAAGGCATGTTATGGTCGAAGTACTATTTCACTCGCAGAATCTACTTCGATTCTTATATTATTATAGGCTTTAATTATGAAGTTTATTCTCAACTATTTTTGAGATCAGCGGTAACAATGACATACGCCGATATGAGAACACGATAAGAATCATAATCATAATCACAATTTTTCATAAATTGGATATATATTTAAGAATATATATGAAATATGAAGTAACTAATTTTATTAGTAATAATATTATTTTATTAGTAAATCATATATATATAACACATATATTAAATCTCTGTAAAGCCATAACGACCGAGTGTAGAGTAACAATGAAGTACTTAATCAGGCAACAGTTGGTGCGAATGCCTCTTAAAATTTCTTAGAAGCAATTAAAGAGCAAATGTGTAGCTAAGAGTTAAATAAATAAATATTTTGTATTTAGTTAATAATGAATATTTTCGTGTTGTTGATTTTGCTTATTGTAATTGCTTTTTATTTAATTGGTACCATTATAAGGCTAATCACTCAAAATCCCTTGATAATGCTTAGAAGACAAGGTTGGGTAGAACGATAGCAGAATAAGCATTTATTTTTCGTGAATTGAAATCAAAATAGATAAGTAAAAATATTATAATAGTAGAAAAAAATATGCTACGTTTATTGTAAAAATTATTAAGAATAATTTTTTAAAAAATGAAAAATAAATTAATTTCAACAATTTTTATATTTTGCTCATACAATGTGATTTAGGGAAGACTAACTCTGTTTTTTGGAGTGGTCTTAAAATATTGATATCATTGTAAAAAGTACTTAGCAGTTGAAGTGGAAATATCAAGTATATTTAAGTTATGATACAATCAGTGTCAACAATTATATCTAGTATGAATAATTGTAATTAGAAAATTAGAAAAAAAATAAAATATTACAATAAAATTAAAAAAGGAACCAGAGTTCCTTCACCTAGATCTAGACTAGTTTTAATCATTCTCAAATAACTTCTTTCACCTATATCTCACCTATACTCATTTATTAAGTTTTGTTGTTCTTAGATGTAGGTACTTAATTTCTAGGTTTTAATAGTTTTGTGCACAATGAATATCCAAAAAAATTTTTCTCGCTTAAATTTTATAGAAAAATTTGAATAACATGAAAATATCGACACTCTGCAGATATCAATTATTATTATTTTGAGGCTAGTTGAGTCAGTGCACTTGAAAACTTTTACACTCTATTAACTGCGAGATTTCTGCATAACCTCTCTCTACGCTTTGACTGGATTATTTTTTATCAGTTCATCAGACTAAACAATAATTGACCTCAGATCTATATGCCTCCCCGAGAAGCCTGTAACCATTCTGAGATTCGATAACGCGGTGCTAGTAAGCCTGTCAGTGTTTGTAAATAATTTCAGTGCTCTATCCTTTATATATTTTTGATCGGATCAATATTGTGGGTCCCAGAGGATGTCATTCGTCCTAATGTACCATGGTGCATTGAAAAGTTTTCTCAGAGCCCTGGCTTTGTGGAATTTGTAGCTGACGAATAGTAGTATTTAAGGCCTAGCTGAACGCTACACATCCATATAGATGTGACGGTTAAATTATTTGTTTATTTAACAGCTTCCTGTTTTTAGTATTGAGGTTTTTCTTCTTAAATAGCGGTTGAAGGTAACTATTTCTGAAGAAATCAAAACTACAAAACTACTCGTTTGTATTATACATACGTTAAAAACAACATATACCACAAGACTTGTCAGGTTGGTTCCCTTTCAATATAATAGGGGAATCGCACCTTCTCAAAGGAGTGTTGTTGGTGCACTAGATATTTAGGATTTCTACCTTTAAAGTGATTCTTCAGATATCTAGTACATCTGTGCTAGTACAAAGCGCCATTATTTGTACTTAAGACCGCTTTGAAGACTGACACTCCAACATAACCAAACCTAACCTATACTATTATTTTCTGTTAATTAGAAACTTCTCAGTACTTAAATAATACTTAATTTTTCTATTTATTTTATGCATTGAAAAGGTACATTATACTCTAGAAATTTTTATATATACCACGTAATCATGACACCAAGTGACACCAGCTTAAATCCGTGTTTTTGTTATCGCTTGTGTGTGGACTTAATCTGACCCAGAAGGTTGTTGATTACTAATAACAACGAGTTTAACCAGTGGCGTAACTACAGGGAAGCGAATGGAAGCAACGCTTTCGGGCCCCCGAACTTAGGGGACCCCATTATAAATTTATGCATTCATTATTAACATTAAAGAAATTACCAAAACTAGACAATTTTCTTAAAATAAATGAAAACAAAACTGAAGGAGTAAACGATTTAAATGATGCCTTTGCTAATTGTGATACACAGACTTCAAACAGACGATACGAAAATCTTCACAAGCCTAATATACCTTTTTTACACTTTTTCGTGTAAAGGGTATAAAAAGATATTAGGAGGAGCTCCTTAATTATAATTCGCTTATGGGCCTAATAAATGTAGTTACGCCACTGAGTTTAACGTATTCCAAAATTGTGTCGGAAGATAAAACAGAACACATTTCAAAATTTGGGTTTAGTCGCAAATACTAAAGAAAGAACATTAATTAAATAATTAAATTATTTATTATAACTAAATTTGAACAAATGTTTTTTTTTTTATTTGTGTCTGTCAATGAATCTATCAACACGTCTCTTTAGATAACAGCAGTGTAAATCGGTTTTTTATCGAAATGAGAAAAAAATACTGCGTCCAAATTTTACAAAAACAACTCCATATGAATTATGCAAAACTGAATTCCGTTTATTTTATATTGATATATTGAATTACCAAACTACAATTATATTTTCGGTATCAATATCTCTTCGCATTCGTCATAATAGTGTGAATTTTTTAATTCTTTTGTTTTTGGTTCAATGACTTTATGAAATATTTGCGGAGCTGCTCTATATGCACATCTGGTGAACATAAATTTGGTGCTACTTCAGTTGTATTTCGTCATTGGTACGCCAATTTATATAAAAAATTAAGGTTAATGTGTCTGTTATATATTTCCTATCAATATGCACAAATTTTATTTATTACATTATGAAGAATTACCATGTGCAACTAGTGGTTGCAATATTTTCAAAATTTAACACAAAACTTTTTATGTAAAACTTCAACTAATAATTTAATAATTATTCTTTTATACTTACACTATTAAGAGTTTATAATTACAATTTTATTAAAAAAATATTAAAAATAATTATGCAAACTTCTATAGTTTCTATAACTAAAAAACTTCAATGAAAATTCTTATCACTTTCTACAGATTTTTATTATTTTCACTTTGTAGTCGGCTTTTGCAATTATCTACAAATGAAATAAATTTTAATAACAATTCACAATAAATGCGAAGCAACGAAGCAAAACAAAATGCAATAAATTGAATATAACTCGCGCAAATGTCAAGACTGTGAATGGCACACAAACAGTTTTACGGCTTATTTTGCGTTTGTGTTTCACGCTTGTTGTTTAATAAAAAAGAATTTCCATTCTGAACTAAAGTATAATAACGACTAAAGTGTATTAAAATCCTAACATACAAGATGTTAGAAAATACTTATCCTAATTTAGAGAAGTTGTGTAGATTATGCTTGAAGGTGAACGGAGCCATTTACAGCATACATCCAACCAATGATGCCACAACAAATATGTCAATTCCAATGCGTATTATGGCTTGCACTTCTTTGGAAGTCCAAAGAAATGATGATTTACCAAAATACATCTGTGCTGAATGCCGTTATCAATTGGAGAAATCCTATTTACTACGAAAACGTTCGCAAGCAACGGACTCCAAGCTGCGAAAACATCTGCGCTTAATTAATTCGGGTAGGATCAGCCAGTGCTTCATAAAAACCGACGATGATGACGAGGACGAAATTGAATTTGAAGATTCATTAAATTTTATAAAACAAATTGATCATTTAAAATTAAAAGCTGAAGACGAGAGAAGGGCAAATTTAGTGGAAAAAGATGTTGTGAAGAAATTATCGCAATATAAAAAAGAAATATATGAAACATGCAAATCGGAATTGCGAGACGAGGTAAAGGGTGAAGTTAAGCGGGAAATAATTGATGAAGTTCTTGATCAACTTAGATATGACTTGCGCAAGGAGGTAGAGAAGGAATTACGTAAAACTCTATTACCGGAGTGTAAAGCGTTGGTTAAAAACGAAATTCAACAAGAATGTAGAGAACAAGAACGTAAGGAACTGCTGGGTGAATTAGAAGTATTTATTAGTAATAAACGCTTGGGCAAAGACAATGAACCAAATACAAACACTGATTTTGTACCTTATAAAAGACTTAATCCAAAGAGAAATGCTAAAGAGGCAAATGATATTTCGGAA